TTTTACACTGAAGAGGAGCGTTAAATTTGAGTAAGGAAAGTCATATACAAAAGATAGCGGAATGCCTCTATAGCAAGAAGAAAAATAGGGGAGAAAAAAGAAAAAAGAAAAGAAATTTCTAACTTCTATACAAGAGGAGGGGCACTGAGTTAAGTAGGAAAAGTCACCTATTAAAAAATTGTGGAAAGCCACAACTGTTAGAAAGCCAGAAAGAGAAGAAGAGAATGTGCAAGTTTTCCCCTAGCCCTGGGGGGGCTATTTATAGTGTTTTTGGGGGGAAGAAAGAAGTTTAGAGAATTTTCTAGAATTTTAAGATTTTTTTGAATTTTTTGAATTTTTTCGGTAATTTTTGAAATTTTTTGTGATTTTTTTTACAATTTTTTTAGTTAAAAAATTAAATAATAAGTCAGCGGTTGCATAACCGCCATCAACTGCAGGCCCGAATCAACGCCCGACAGCCAATGGTCGCGCGGGATCGCGAGGGCCAGGTGCGGGGTAGTGGGAGGGCCCAAGCGAGCTGCGGAGTGGGTCGTGAGCGGGCAGAGCTAGGCGGGCTGCGGACAGGCCGAGGGCGGGACGAATATGCGATTTTGCGGCGGCGGCGGCAGCCGGTAGGCCGGATCGGCCGGTTCGGCTACCTAAGCAATTATGGGTCCAATTTTTGCCCTGAAAAGGCCAAATTGGACTTTTTTGGGGTCCCCAAGACCATTTTTGGATATTCTAGACTCAAATTTGCCCCTTTTAAAGCTATTTGGGGCTCCTACATGCAAGATTGGATTTCAAATCCCATGGAAAATTCTCCAAAGTTTGTGACACATATTTTTGGACTCCTGAAACTTCAATGTCCGAAAATAGGGGGACAACTGATATATCATCAAAAAATCATCATGATCGGGCACGAATCTCGAGCAAAATCAAACCGAAAACTTCAAAAATTAAATTCGAGATCACCTGAACTCTAATTTTAACAAACTTATAGTCAAACTAAGCATCTCGAAAATACGAACCCAACAACACCAAATTTGACACAATCCGAGCCTAAATAAGTCCAAATCAAGGACCCGAAGTACTGTTAGAAAGTTCAAACCACAATTTGAGTTACCAAACAGTTTTGAAACATGACGTGCTTATAGTCGAATCGAGCGACTCGATGAGGCAAATCCAACGTGCCCAAGATCGCCGAATTCTAAAATCATTAAGACCTTCAAATGTTTGACGAACGGTACACGACCTAGGGATTCAATATTGGTCGTCCATCCAACCACTCCCAATTTACCCCTGATCTCTCACTTATTTATGGGTCATGCCACTTCAGAATATTTATAAATAGACCCCTCATTTCTGTTAAGAGCGGACCAAAGCAAGAAGAAGAGAAGATAATAAGAAGAAGAGAATGATAGGAGGAAAGAACTCCTCCTCAACCATCGCTAGAATTATGCTCGACACCCAAGTAACGCTGGAATTCTGCAAGATGCTGGAATTCTGCCCGATGTCAAAATTCTGCTCAAGTAACGCCGAAATTTCGCGCAAGTGATGCCAGAATTATGCCTGAAGTTCATGTGATGCCGAAACTCCGCCCGATTTCTAAGTGACACCAGAATTCTAAGTGACTCTGAATTCAACTAAAATACACAACTTGTGTGTAACTGGACTTTAATCTGAAAGTAAATTATTATAATATGATCGTTCTAAATTCTAAGGATGAGTTAGCCTATTGTAACTCAAGCAAACACTAGTTGGAACTTTTTCAACTAGGCGTGGCCCCGTGGTTTTTTCACTTTCTAGGATTTTCCACATAAAAATTTTGGTGATTTCTATTTCTCTCATGTTTGTGTGTTGGATATCCGTATAACACGGAGACAAAAATTTTCTAACTCTATCGCTATGTATATTTTAGCCTGAAATAATTTTAAAGATCCTCGATTAAATTTTACCTGAAATTGTATTAAAATGATTGAATTTGAAACTCACTTAAATTAGTTGAAATGAAAATATTTTAAAGAATATCGTGTAAAATTTAGCCTTCAACCCAAACGTGCTCCGTTTTCTCCTTTGTGTCTCTCTCACGACCTCGAGCACGGCTTTCATTTTCTCTTTTCACTCCTCTCTCACCCTCAAATGGAGATCACCAGTGGAAAATATTTCTGTCTTCTAAGCTCTAAAGGCCATGTTATTTTCATTCTAAATTTTGATCTTACAGCTCATCTTGCTCCGGCAATAAGAGACGACAAAAAAAACTTTTAGATTTAGGCCCCCTACATAATAATTTCTGGCACGCAACTTATATATATATATATTATTAATATATTTTATATTATATATATTATATATATATATTAGTAGTATATATATATATATATATAGTATGATGTTCTGGAATATTGAGATAAGGCTTCATTTGGGCCGGCTTTCTAACTACTTCTTAAAACAATTTCTTAGTACAAAAAAATTTAAAATTTAAGTTTTTTGTATGAAAAAACTATTTTAAGAATCAGTAAGAAAACCGTCACAAATGAAGCCTAAGAGAATGACAAAACCAATCTCTCTATGGATGAATGCATGAAGCTTCCTCTCTAAGGATGAAAGTGGGCTTCTTCTTTCCTTAAACCATCGGAACAATGGGAGGAAAAGCAAGGAATATGTATAAATAAGGGAACATTTTTAGAATGTAATATTTTTTAAAAGTAGTAAGAATATCCAATGTTTTCAAAATCGGACCAGACCAATCGGTTCGATCGGTTCAACCGCGAACTGATCCGGCGGGCAGTCTAAGAAGAGGAAGGAGCTAGCTGATTTAATAACCAGGTAAAAATTGGGTGAAAACCAAGTTGAACCTGTTAACCGCCAAACTAGGAGGTTTAGGAATAACCGGCTAATCCGTAAAAGCTCTAATTTGAGCCTTTGATCTGCGATTGAGCGGCGTAGATACAATGGGTATCGGAATTAGGTATTAGTTGCTCGTTTTCCCTGGCATATGCAACGACTCCGGACTCCATACACAGATAGGCGACACTTCTAGTTCTTCTCCCTCAGTTCATCTAGAAGTTGCCGTCCGACCTCCCAACCGCTGGCGAACACCATACACTACTCCAATACGCAACTCCACGGAGACCATGCTAGTTAAGTTGGGGAAGAAGTCACATTTGGTCGCCTACCGACGCGTCAAACTCGGACGATCCTGACGCAGGTTCTTAAATTTTTGTTTTTTTGAGTAATTTTTTACACATTTAAGCTTGCATCTCTTCTCCAAATTGTATCGATATGCTTGCATTTCTTCTCCATTTATGCTTGCTGTAATGGCTGAGAAATACCGAATAATTGATTGTAATCATAAACTCAACTTTGAATAATAATTGTTTATTATAAAAAAAAACTGGGCATCTAACCTCTGCCACCCACTGATGATTAGCTTGGTTGGTGGGCGTGCTTGGTTGGGAATCCCCCATCCCGAGTTCGATTCCCTCGAGCGGCAGTCACGCCTTAAGTGGGCACCCCAAAGCATCGGTTGCGGGTACAGTGGCGTCAGTGGCCCGATAGGTCTGCCGGGGTTTACGGACTACCAAGCCCACTTGGCGAAGTCAAGCGTGGCAGCGGACAGTTCCTTGTCACACAAAAAAAAAAAACCGCTACCACCCTCTTAGAAGGTGTATGACAGCGTAACTAATCTCCCAGCAAGCCTACAAGCAACTAACCCCATAGGTACATGACTCGCATTTATTTTTCCCTCACTTAAGGGGTCGCGCCGCTTGAGAGAGGATTCGAACATGTATATCATCATAACTGATTAACTGTTTGTTTTCTGTATCAAACGAAGTGCGTCATTTTTTAATCATAGGTATGTTTTACCTTAAATACAAAAAAAAAAAAAAAGAATTAATAAGGGGTGACATAATTTCAAAATATATTTAAGAATCATACCTTCATTCAAAATATTTGTAAAATTTTAAAATCTTAGCATAAAAAAGCTAAGAAATTTTTTTTTTTTTTTTCAATCTACACAATATTTCATACCAATTTAATAAAATTATGAGTATTTGATAAGTCCACCCGTGTAAACGAGATGAGCCAAACTTAAATCAGGAGAAATACAAGCTCAACCCCTGCCAAATCTTGAGCTCAGCTCGCCTGCTCAAGTTGAGCTTAAAGGGCAGACTAGAGTTAACTTTTAAGTAACAAAGAGGGGCTCATGAGCCATCTCGTAAGCTTGGGGCAAAATCCAGCAACTTCGTTTTCGTGATCCTCGCCAGAGTAAAAGAATACATAGTTTGCCTACCACCCTCTCTATTTGTTTGGGTAAACCTGTTGGCTGCTTATTTTAAGCTTCTTTTAAACTGTCAACTTTTGCCTGCAACCCTGCTAATAATGACAAGTTGTCTAAACCTGCGTCAATATCTTTTAATATCTAAGCTCCAACTGAACTCACAGCACAAGAAACTTTAACTCCTACACCCTTTATTGAGTCGAATTTGAGCCGACTCCACTTACTCACACAATAGATATGTCGATCAAAATCACAATGCAAAATTCCTCAGAACAGTTCAGCAATGCTGCTTCGGTTAAACGATAGGACAGATGAAAATCACAAAGGCTGTTCAAAATTGATTTCCCATGGTGTAGAAATTATTCTATGCCGATACCGGATGATTCAGAGACCAACCATAACACATCACATCACCCAGTACCGAGCAGTATGGTGCAAAAAAGTGACATGACATATTTTAGTTGGTCTCCAGACGCCGTCAAGGATCCGCACAGAATAATTTTTCCTCATTCATGTTGAGCACCATTCAGAACTGTATACTATCAAAATGAGGCAGCAGACAAGCCCTAATGGCGCCATTCAAAATGTTTTTCACAACCCAAATGAAAGGAAACAATGAAAAGTTTTTTATTGTTTTTTTATAGTAAATTTTTAGTATAAATAATTCTAATTCAATGATTTTTTGAATTAAAAAAATACTTTAAAAAGCCGTAAGACGTCCCAAACGAAGGCAAAGTCATCCAATCAAAATGGAGTAGTAATCTGAAAAATATATGAAATACACACACAAATCACAAATTTTGTGCCTGTACAGAAACTAGGGGTTATCTTTCTTAAGACTTAACAATTAACACTAAAAAAAAATGGGGAAAAAGCTTTCAAACAAGAGAGAATTCCCCATTACATTTTCCCAATCTAATCCAGATGGATCAATCAATTTGCATTTTGTTATCTCCTTGGGGTGGTTCTCGTGAGGCATCGCCACTGACCCATCTGTGGTGAATTGTCTAAGATCAGCAATAAGCCCACATTACTGTTTGATAAGCCAAAGGTGTACCTAGCAATTTCAACAAAAGAAAAAGGGCTTATTTGCAAAAATGCAAGGCAAGAAGGCATGCAGTTGAATGGAGAGCAAGAACAAAAAAAAAAAAAGGCAAGGCAAGAAGGCATGCAGTTGAATGGAGAGCAAAAAAAAAAAAAAAAAAAAAAACAAAGTCTAGTTGGAGGGCGTTTTATTTGCTTACCTGCTACGAGATGCTTTCTTTCTCCAGAAAAGAAAGGGCATGACCCACTAAATCAAAGCAATAAAAAAAAATGAAAAATGAGTAACTTAAAAATATATATATTTACAATAAGAATATTATTATAAAAAAAAAAAAAGATTTACGGTAATTTAAGATCAATTAGAATCATTATATCTGAGCAACTGTATAACTGTAAAAAATAAGGCATCTCGTTTAAATTTTTTTGAACGTGATAGGAAACACTTGTAGATCTCAAGTATTTCCTGTCAATCTTTGAAAAACAATGAGAATTCTCCACAAAAATCCACACCAAATCATGAAAACAATAGATAATATGTATTATTTGATAAAAAGAAAACAAAAAAATAGCAAGATACAATTGATCCTCCATTCAAGAGGATGATCTATCTCTCCCAAATTTCTATATACCACTAGAGCCCAAGAGAAAATCTAAATCTAAGATATCTCAAATTTCAGCCCAATTCAAGATGCCATAATCCTAGGAAAACAAACTATTTAATGCATACAATTAAAAAGGAAATCTCTAAACAATCCCTACATTCAAATTTCGCTCCCAACTCTCTCAAAAAACCTTCCAAATCTGCTCAGCTGGCTTCTGTGAATGGATTGGCGTACAAGAGAGGAAGAGAAATCATGCTGGACCGGTCTAACAATACTCCCCTCCAAAGATCCACCTTTTCCGCAAGGCGGAAAGACAACACCTTCCTCCATTCCCTCGTCATCACAAACGATAAGAACCTGAAGAGTTCGGTCCTTACACCTGTGCCCCGGAGTATACTTCTTGTCGCATCTAAAACAGAACCCCTTCGCTCTCTTCTTCTGTAATTCTATTTTTGTGAGCTTCTTGATGTTGTCCCCAGTTCTTCCTCCTGCAATCTTTTCCTTTGAAGTTCCCCGAAGAGTATCAAGTGTTAACTCCTTGGATGCCAATAAGGTGGTGGTCATCCTGTACGAACTTACTGAGCTACTGCTTTCAATTTCTCTCTCCAGGTGCCTCTGATCCTCCACCAACTGAACTAGTTCCTTAGCCCCTCCCAAGTCATGAGGCCTCATTAATCTAACCGCTATCCGAATCTCTGGTGTCAGTCCCTTTATAAAATTTTCCTCTGTCACTGAATCGTCATGTGTCAAGGCAAAGAATTGCTCGTAGAAATCTCCTCCCCTGCCAATTCGAAAACGTTCTACCAAACAATCATTGAACTCTCTCAAACTTCGTATGGGCCGTCACATGTAACTTCACTAATATCAAGACAAAACCTTCCCTTCCAAACATAGGCCCGCCGCCATTAGCCTCTTCTCCTATGTCAACCCATTGACGACGAAATATCATTCTACCTTATAGATCCACCCATGCGCATCCTCCCCCTAAAAAATTGGCATCTTCAGTTTCCTCACCCTCGGGTCACATCTGTTTCCCCTAAATCCTCAATAACCTCCCGTTCCTCGAAGAGGAGGTGCTACCCAATTGTCACGATCTTCCCTCCGGCAATCATACCCAAACCTTTCATCAAAAACCCCTCATATTCTTTCAAAATCAGCACCCCGGCGATCGAAATCATCCCCTCTCCTTACAAATTCAGCACCCCTTCTTGCATAGCCAATGCTCATCTCCTCCCTAGAAAGTGGTTATAGATGAGGCATTCGGTCTTCTCCCTCCCGGACCTCCACTTTCGGATTTTCCCTTCCCCTAAATGTGTTAAGGTTCTCATCTCTTCCATGGCTGCCAGTAGTTTCCTTTGGTTCCGATTTCACCGGTTTGGTTTTGGCTTCAAGCAATTTTTCAACATGTCTTCCACCACGGCGAACTTTTCCTCCATCCTTTTATTGATGGATGCGGTCTGATTTTGAAAATCAACAATCTTCTCCTCAAAATTTACTTGGAGTTGCCCAAGTTCTCCCTCCAAAACTTCCACTTTCCTTCTGGCCATTGGTTTCCTTTCGATCGACGTGCTCTGATACCAATTTGATAGGAAACACTTGTAGATCTCAAGTATTTATTGTCAATATTTGGAAAACAACTAGAATTCTCCACACCAAACCATGAAAACATTAGATAATATGTATTATTTGATAAAAGGGAAACAAAAAATAGCAAGATACAATTGATCCTCTATTCGAGAGGAGGATCTATCTCTCCCAAATCTCTAGATGCCGCTAGAGCCCAAAAGAAAACCTAAATCTAAGAGATCTCAAATTTCAGCAAAATTCAAGATGCCCTAATCCTATGAAAACAAATTATTTAATGCATACAATTAAAAAGGAAATATCTAAACAGTACCTACATTCAAATTTCCCTCTCAACTCCCTCAAAAAACCTTCCAAATCTGCTCAGCTAGCTTCTGCGGCTAGATCGGCGTACAGGAGAGGCGGAGAAATCCCTCCTCTGTCTGCGTGAATCGGATCTATGGGACTGACCGGACCGGTCCAATGGAATGGTCTAATAGAATGTTTATCAAGAAAAGCATAATCGAAAAAACCATAAAACTAGTAAACAAAAACATAACAACTAAGATGCAATATTTTATAAAGTTGATTGAGATGTTGTTGTGAGGTAAATTAGCTATTTTGGTCATTAAAAGCAACTTTCCATAAAATAGTAAAAAGTAGTAAGAAAGTAATAACTAAATGAAATTATGATTTGCTGTCTGAAGAACAAAATAATTAGAAAGTTGCCCAAACAAACCCTTAATCAGCTTGTCTAATTAGAAAATTAACCAAAAAAGAAGTACATGCATATTAGACATGTGCATCATGGGTTTGATAAAACAATGATGATGACAATGAAGGAATTATAAGAGATTCAAATAATAATAAGATTTTTTGAATTTTGAAATAAACAATTAAAACAAGACTTTATTAATTAATTAGTTTAGATGGTCTATATTTTATGTTTCTTTTGAAGAGAAAATTTATTATTTTATGGATTGTATTCTATAAATTTCAGGTTTTTTTAATTTATATTATTCATTTAGTTTTTTAACATTATATATATACCATATGATTTCACTATAAGGAGCAACTAGAAAGTTAAAATTGTGAGTGTGAATATTAAGTATTATGTCCACATAGGCTGGTATATATCAAATTCAAGAAATTGCATGGTTTACTAGTTCAAACTTCAGAACTGGCTTTGAATAAAGCAAAAGCATTTTGAAGGGGTTTTGCATTATGCAGCACATCATATAAGATAATCCACGGTTCATGCAAGAAAGAAAGAAAGATTTTTTAGGTCCATTTGGGACAGCTTTGGCTTATTATAAATGTGGTTATAAATCTAACGTGGGAAAAGCACTTTTTTATAAGTATTAAGTATTATAAATATACTTTTTTTGAAAAAAATTGGATAGTTGTTTTCTTGTAGCTATCTCTAATAGATCCAGTTGTTCAAAAATAATTTCGCACCATAAAAATTTATGCAAAGTAATAAAAAAGTAATAGCTAAATGAAAATATAATAACGGCATAAGAGCAAAACAGTGAGAAAGCTACCTCAGACAGACCCTTAAGCTAATTAGATTAAAAGGCACTAAATATTTTACTTAAAGTAAGGATGAATAAAGTCCAGCATAAAGCAACCTAAACCATAAAAGGGCTGTTTTAGAAGCAGGTAAAAATGTTTAATTCACGATAGAAATAGAAGCTAAGCTAAGCATTCCGAACATCCATAGATATCTTACAAAAACTAGGTATAACAAGGTTAACTTGTAACAATTCTCCAGTAAGGCCTAAATTTAAAACACCAATAAAAGAAATAAGGAAAGGACATCAGATCCCCTCTGGGCTACCGTGATGTCAAGAAACTTGAACTTCTCAAGTTTAATTATGATGTTCCTCAACATTTTCTAAAGAGATTTAGACATTTAAGATATCGATAATCATCTTCCATGAATAAATTATATTCCCAGGTGTGCTAAATACAATCATCTGCTTTTCTGCAATTTTCCAAGTGAACATTGTAAAGCAATAGTTGGAAGAGGTTTCGGTGTCCATATTAAAACTTACATTGCTAATCAAATCAGAAAATAAAACAAACTGAGATCCCAGAATTTTACATCAGTTCTCAAGAGATCACAAAACAGAATTTTATACATCATTTTTGTTTTCCTTTTTTGTATATTTCCCTTCAAAGAATAAAAAATAATAATAATAAAAACTTCATGATTTCATTGCATTCATCATCCATATCCATATCCTGACAACACTCGGCATGAATGTTCATTGTTTAAAACCTGCCGCAAAGTAACCTTATTTGATTCCATTGTGACTATTACAATACTTATTTTCAAACCCCAAGATTCTAAATGTAGCAAAACACTAACCAATCTAGAATAATAAGCTCTAGCTGATTGAAGTTAGTACACTTCCTTTCTTTCGGCAAGCATGACATATCATCTCTGCTAAGCGTCCCCCCTCATGTTTTAACTGAGGGAAGTGTACTCAATGTATTGAAAGTAATTCACACTTGACTTGTTCCTGGTAAGAGTAGAAGAATCAAGCGCTCTAGCTCATACTTGTAGTGCAAGAATGAGAAGATGCATTTCTTACCAACTATAATTTCATGATATATAACTTTGAGCCAAACAAAAAAATACAACTGTCATCAATATTGCTGAACTCCATCCTCATAGGCTTCACCTTTCACGGTTGTTAAAAACCATCGCCATTTCTGTCGATCTCTCCAAGACACTAGTGATAAAACATGAACCTAAGAGGAAACTAAAAGCTCTTTCAAAAGAATTCCACTATTGATAGGGCTCATTTAGTTGCTTAAAATTTTATGACATGTTTTAAAAAATAATGAGATTTTCAAGGTCCATCATTTGGTTTAGATGAAGTTAGAAATCAACATTTAATCACAATCCCCTCAAAATCTAATCAAATGTAATGATTTCAAGTCAAAAATTGAAATGAGTAAAAATAGAATCATCATTTGCAAAATTATGTTTTCAATCAACAAGAAACCAAATTTGTCCAAAGAAGCGAATCCACATTATAATCAAAATTGAGGAATCAATTATCTCGATAGCAAAACATAAAAGCAATTTAAATCTATTAATAACTTTCCTCAAGCCTATATTTATCGTAAATTTTCCTTAGTTTTACAGATGCATACTGCACGGCTAACCTAAATAAATTTTCCAATACATGCCCAAGAAACATAATAGCTTGAAAAAGCAACCAAATATGCAAAGAAACTTACCTTGATCAAAGACACAAACGTAAATGCACCAAACAAAGTAGGGTTCTTCTTCACAACATTCATTTCTGGCTTCGCCTCTTTGCAGAGCTGCTGTGCAATTTCCCTGAGAAGCACAATCTGCGCCTTCTCTGTCCTCATTGAAATGATTGCTTGCCTCATCGACTCCCTGTCTGCCTCCAGAGCCTGCAGCCTCATGTAAAGCTTGTTTATATCACCCTCCTCTCTTTCTCCTCCATCAAATCCCCCCTTTTGATCACTCTCTTTCTTCATCCTTGAGCTAATCAATTCCTCGTCCTCACTTTCATCGACAAGTGTAACACCGTGAACTGCATCTATTGTGTAGATTCGATCAGTCTCATCATCTTCCCCCTCTCCATTTTCACCAACCATGGCCGACGATTCCTGCGGCCTCAAAGAGTCCACAGAAGAGAAACGGTGGAGATGCCCCTGGGGTGGATTGGGGATATTGACTTGGGCTCCATAGGGGGTCTTCTCTAGCTCGTAGATCCGCCGCTCAAGATTCGAGGTGTCATCGTCATCACAGGAAACTGCCGCAACACAGCGAAGGGGAGGATAGCACTCACCCCGCGGGAGATCAAGTTCTCCTTCGTTACCGTCAGAATTGAAGAAGACAGGGTCGCTTCCGACATTGATGCCGAGGCTTAACAGCCGGTCCTTATAAGCGCGAACCTCGCAGGAAAGAGCCTGCGCCTGCTGCTCGCGCTTAAATAGGAGATCATCGAGCTCAGCAATCTCGCGACCGTCGTGGGCCATCTTCTCCTCCGCGAATCTACGGAACTGGCGCGCCTCCATTTGTACCTCAGCCTTTTCGCGCTGAAGACGAAGGATCATCGACATTGTCTCGCTCGCCGCCGTCGCCGCCGCGTTCCGCTCCTCCTCGAGCTCAACGGAAAGCTCTTGGATCGCAACCTGCTGACTAGCTAGGGTTTCACGGAGGGCTGTCAGCTCGTTTTCCAACTCCACGCGCGCGAACCCAGCCTGCGGCATCGCATCCCGCCCGTCAGCCTTGCGCTTCACATATCGGCGAAAAGTTGGGGACGATGGCTCGAAGCAGCAAGGGCAGCCGCAGTTGCAGCAGCCGGTCGGACTCGCCGGATCCATCTATCCCAAAGCGGCATCCAAGAAAGATGAAGAAAATCGAATCTCCAAAGCCAAAATTCCAACACCCCTCGTATGGATCAGAGAGTAGAACAAACAAGAAGATCGAAAGGGTTCGAAGAAATTCAAATTCTGCGATCATTAGGTTTCCGTAACCGACCAAGATTTAAGCTGCTCGTAATCTCGGCTGATTATTGCTTGATTGGATATTTAATCGCGGGCATTTACGTTTCCCTCGTAATAACTGAATCCAGGCGTCATAAAAACCTACAGATTTTGGTAATAAATAGGGATCTGTGATTACCCTTCGAAAAGCAAATATTCACATCTTGCCACTTGAAAGTCACACGGAATCTCAATCAACTTTGCGTCTCGGGAAGGAAAATTATGCATAAGATATTCCGGAACTTATTTGGTCCGGTCATCTGATGTAGCTCTACGTTTGAATGCCAGTAAAATAGTGACACATATTCTCACTATTTACCGTGCGGCCCGACAACACCGACTCTGAACAGAGACGGGATTGCTAAGTTCGCGTGTTACTAGGTATTGCTCGGTATTTACTCGGTATTAGTCGATTTACTCGACAACAACGAGAAATACCATTCTGTGAAGACCAATACCGAGCAATACCGAGCTCGGTATTTCTCGGTATTGATCTTCACAGAGCGATATTTTTCATTATTGCCAAGCAATAACTAGCAATACCGAGCAGTACCTAGCAATATCGAGCAATACCAAGCAATATGCGAACATAGCAATCACGGGTCAAGTCATCGGGCCGCGCAGTATTGAGTAAGACCACGTGGCGATATGTTATTAGCGTCCGAATGTAGAGCTACTTGAGGTCACCTGACCTAATAATTGTTCGATAATCGGAGGCTCATTTGATTGTACATGGATAAAATTATAAATAAAGGGTTTTTTTTTTTTTGCACAAAATAAAAATATTTACTCTCTAAAAAATTTAACAAAATTTTAGGAAGTATTGAAATAAATATTTATATCTAACTTTCTTTAAATTTTATCATTCTCAACAAAGGCGGAACAAGCCTCTCTTTTAAGCAAAACGTCTAAAATTAAACAAGACAATAAACTATAAGAATTAGATGTTAAAGGTTCAATTGTTCAACCAAGGTCAAATCGAGGTTGAACCAAATGACATAATAAAAACTTATTATTTTTAAATATTAAACTAATGACAGGATCATTTGTAAATATATAATAAAAATCGAACATAATCATAATATGAAGCAATTAAAAAACATAACAAATAAATTCAGTAAATTTAAAATTGAATACATTATTATTTGAGCAACTGACCTTTTTATAATCATAATTTGAGAGATGAAATCGAAATATCTCTTGAGATCTTGTAGTTATATCTACAATTGGTGAAGCTCTGGAAAGTAAAAATAAAATAAATATGAGATAATTATTATAATTGCAAACATAATAATGAAATATAGAGTAAATAAAAAAATATAATAATATATTTTACCTGAAGACACAACTAATTATAAAAAGATTTTAATATTTTATACTAACCTATAGCAAAAAGAAAATATATTCATGATATAGAGATGAAGTTAACTTTTTTTTCTTTCTCGATTCAATAGTTCCAAACTTTCAATAGTTTCACAAGAGAAGAATCAAAGATATCCTAAATTTACATCATCAAATGTATTGACATAAGTTGAGTCTCTAGGTCTCGCTTCACCAAAATATGCAAACCAAAAGCATCTGATTGATCAAACTCGATTATATCGCCTCAATCGCCTTCATCATCTAAATCACCTTCACCAATAAATAATAAATCCAAAACTAGATATTATTTTTTATTTTATTTAAATGATATATTCATATTTCATTATCAATTTATTATGTCTTAGCCATTTGTATATCTCATTTTTCAACACTTGTAAGCCAAGTTCTGGCATTGTTTCATCTTTAAGTACTCATAAATCTACCATTTCAAAACAAATGTAGTCCAGAGGATCGTAATATCTTTTTTAAGTTGAAACCTAAAAAATAAAGAAATAAATTTCGCTTGAGATTATACCTACTCTTTAAATCACAATTGCATATGAGCATTAATACAATGTAAGATTGCATCTATTATTTAAATTTTAATTATATTAAACAAATACAAGATCGTTGAGTTGTTGATGCTCCAAATAATTGCGTCTCTTCAAGTGAATTTATTCAAAAATATTCCAAATTATTTTACACCCTGATGAAAGATGATGTTCGTCTTAAAATTCTTATAGCTAATTTCTATAAGTTTGGAGTGCTTAATCCAAACATCTTTCACTACTCATCTATATATTATCAACTTAGAGATCTTGGTGAGTATGCATATTTATAAATTAAAATATAACCATATAACTATATGTTGACATTAAAAAATAATTATCATGTTGCATTTATTTTGTCATTGTTAATGTAAATGATTTTTCAAAACTTTCTAAGCTATCAAGGAATAATCTGACCTCATTCATTGTAATTGTGGGCTTAGAATAAATATATTTATCTCCAATTAACTTAATTAGACCTTACAAAAATTTGGCTTTTAATAATAGTTCTCTCTATCATACTGGAAATGAGGATTGAGAAAATATTCTACCACATGGATGTTATGCCTTAATTGAATATCTCATCTCTTTTTTATTATAGTGGTGAAAGGCATATATGATCTCTTTACATTTCTGAACATAGCTTTGATTTTCTTATGTGTCATGTACATGCCATCATATAGATATCCAAACAACAATTTCTCATCGGAATCAACAAGACGCAACAATCGAATCAAAGGGCTCAATATCTTTGAAATGATAAGATAATTTTCTCAAAACTTCAAATTCAAAAAAATTGAATCCAACTCTTTCCCTTTGGAGGTTTTAGATATCTTTGAATCCGTATAAAACTTACTTGTAATCAATGCTTGAAATTCATTGTGGTTCTCATGGATACTTTCAAAGTTATGAATGTCATTACAAAATATGTAGCTCCTAGATGAATAATCTTCTTCCAACCTAGTCTTTTTATAAGCTATGCAAATACAAAGATATGATTATAATAATAATAAAATTATCACCTTCGAAGCTTTTCTTCTTGATCCTCTATGAGAGGCATGCTTTCAATATCTTTCAAACTTATGTTCATATAATGTGCAACACAAGGTGACTAATAAATGTTGTGGAATCTTTTATGTAATATCTGACTTGCTTTCTTGTAATTGGATGTATTATCAATAACTAATTGAATCACACTATCTAGCCCTATCCACTCAACAACCTTAGTAGATAAAGAGCATAAGTTTACAATATCTTTGGTGATGTTCGAAGCATCAACTGATTTTAGAAAAGATACACCATGTGGATAGTAAATCAAAAAATTGATTAATATTCTGCTCCTACTATCAGTCAATCCATATGTCATGAGATTACAACTTTTTTCCTTCTAATTTTTTTTTTTATGGTTATCAATGAGTAGCCTACTCTCCTATTTGCAATCCTTAAGAAGGTTTACTCTCATGTTGTGATAAGTGGAGAGCTTGTAACCAAGACCTAAGCAGCAATGACATCTACATCTTTATATGCATATACTAAATTTAGATCATTAAATGGGATGCAATAATGAAAAAACCATCTTGATAAAGCGATATCTGCACAGTGAACTACTTCCTTAGATGCTAAAGCGCTCTTAATTGAAAGTTGGGAACCTGATTCAGTTCTAAGGGAAAAGAAAGTATCAACATAACCAATTTTTCTTTTTCGTTTACCAATTTATGATACATGTGCTCCAGAAGATTGTGTTTTAGGTGGAGAAGAAAAATCTCTTTCTTTCTCTATAGCATCATCCACATGAAACGGTGTACTAACCAACTTATCATGTGCTTGTTATTTTTTTCTTGAAATTTCATTCTAGTTATTCTGTATTTGATATCGAACATCGCAAGGAACCTTTTTGCATGTAGCTATGTTTCATTTATTCCTACTAAAAGTTATTTTATTTTATTTATTCCTCCTCCCTTCTATACATAATAACACAATGCAAACATTTAAACAGCTTTTTCCCATCAACACCTCTAACTTCAGCGAAATGATTTCAAATAATGTCCACTTTCTCATGCACAATATAACTGGAAGCTGAAATTTAATTTTTGGGTGCTTCCATTCTAATTTGATTAATTAAATAATATGACATACAAATAAACTCAGAATAATAGCATTCCAAAAATCTTAAAATTTTAATAAAAAGTGAAAATAAAAATACAAATCATTTTGCAACCATCTCTAATGTATTAGCATCAAATCATTAATAGTGACACTTGATTCTAAATTCCACCATAATCATCACCAACAATATAAATTAATAGATCAATCAAGAACAAAATTATTAATAAACAATGTTATATTAGGCAATTGCCTTAGAAATAAAAACTTCTTTAACTATATAGCACTATACAATAAATCATAATTCACTCTTTTGAACTAAAAATATCCACATGAGGTGTTAATCAAGCTAACATTAAGTACAACAACAAGACAACTAATCCAAGTAAACTAACCCGCTTCTGCTATCTATGAGTTTAGGTTCTCAGCATTTGGGTCTTCAGATGTCTTGGAGATGTTAAAAATTTACTTTGTAATGTTGTATTTAGAGTAACTTAAGTTTAAAATTTACTTTGATATGTATGTCATTTACTTAAAATAAATAATGCTTGCATCTCAATGGTACAAAACAGAAATTTTGACATTCATAAATACAACACACAGCGATTGCAGTTTTTTTTTAAGGAAATCAAATCACATCTTTAGATCTTCTTCAATCTTTTGAGACCGCATTCTGATAAATATGACTCTCAAAAATCAAAATAAAAAAAAAAATAAATGAAAGAATCAAAGAACACGAGATGGGTGAGTTGTGAATGAGAGGAGAATAAGTGATGAACTCACAGCAGTGGGTCGGAGGGGAGTCGAGCACGGCAAGGGCGTTCAGTTCATTCTCTCTGCTTAGCGAAAGAGAATGAGACGGTGAGAGAAAGTTAGAGGGAAGCTACGCCATAACAGGAAGAATCGTAAAAAACAACCAAAGGGGTTTTCTTTTATGTTTCATATATGGGTATAAGATTTTCCTTAATTTATTTTATGCCATCTCATCTGATCTCAACGATTGAAAATAACCTTTAATTGAACCGCTTGGTTATTCAAAACCGAAATCAG